TCCATCAGGTGGTTAAGCCACTAGTTAGGTTACAGCTACCATAATCTACTCATTTCACCTCTGATCATTGCTACATTCCCTCCTGAGCTTTTGAGGGACACCTCATATTTAAACGACAATATTTGGGGACTCCTTATTGATGGTGCTTTCCCTCAAACAGCAATTTTTCTCCTTACTACTTTTATCCCCTGGGGATCTTACATTCTTCAAGGGCTTTAACACAGCTTCTCTTCCCCACTCAGGGTTCCTACTAGCTACAATCTCACTCCTGAACTCCGGCTCCATATTTCCAAATGCCAACTAGATTTCACCTGAGTATTCAAAATAGGTTTTAAAATGCTATGAGCGATGACCACGATCATCATATTCCCTAGCCTAGAAACTGCTTTGTCTGCCTCCTTGAATAGTATCATCATTTTCTCAGGCACTCAGGACTACATATTGAAAGTGTGACTGTTTGTTGCTTCTCATGCCCTATTATTTGCTAGGTCCTACTGACGTGATCACAATATTTCTTGCATCCTTCCTTCTTCCTATCAGTGACCAGAGCTATAACTTCAACTCTGTTTATTTTGTTTTTCTTTCAGTCTTGTTTGTTTGCTGCTCCCAATCAGTCTTTTTTTTTTTTTGGAGTGGGGGCCATGGGGGTCAAACCCAGAGCCTATAGCATGAGAGGCAATTGCTCTGCTGCTGAACTACATCCTGACTCTAGCAGTCAGGTAAATGGATGCCTTTCTACTGTGCTATTCCATTGTTCTAAAGTGGTGGTGAGGATCTATTATCAGAAGTTCACTTTTCTTCCCTTGACATTCAAGATCCTCTGTTACCTCACCTCAACTTGCTGTTTTCAGACTTGGATCTTATATTCCTCCCTTGCTGTAACACCTGCTGTGGTTTAAATCAGACTCCATCTGAGTTCTTGAAAGTGCTTCATCCTTTCCACCTCCCAGTAGTTCATTATGCTCCTTTGCTTGGAAATGTACATTCATCCTCCCCTGATGCATGTGTCTAAATTCTGAGTGTTCTTTGGGAAAAAGCACAACTTTTGCCTTGCTTTCCACTTAGTAAATTAGTAAATTACCGAGTTGAAGGTGATCTTTCTTAAACTTAGACAGATTTAATCTGTTTCTAAACTTTGGAATGTTTATAATTTCTAAGTTGTTTCTCTTTTTTAAATTTATTTTTTAGCTTTAGGTGGACACAATATCTTTATTTTATTTGTATGTGGTGCTGAGGATGGAACCCAGTGCCTCACGCATGCCAGGCGAGCACGCTACTACTTGAGCCACAACCCCAGCCCTCAAAGCTGTTTCTCTTTGTGTTCGTCTTTTGACCTTACTTACTTAAGTCAAATTATTTGAGTTTTTTACCTTCAAATTTCTCCACGTCACTCAGTGTAAGGAACAGGTAGAACTCTCCTCAATGTAGCATCGGTAGGAAAGAAGAAAACCTCATGCTAGTAACTATGATATACTTAAGAATGAGTGATCAACAGGTTTAGAAATTATTTTTATCTCAAGTCTCTGTGGGAGGGTGAGGGCATTATGTAGTTTACATAACATCATGTGTCTGGATAAAAATTGAAAAATGGATACTAAGTATGCCAAGTATGGATACCAAAACTTGGTGTAGCCAAATAATATTGGTGCCTTTATGTGTAAACCCTATAAATGAGAGATTTTTTTAAAACATAGAAACAGTACTAGTACAGAAACACACACACACACACACACACAATTTTTCTGAGCCTTCATTGGAAATTCATTCATTCATTATCTCTAACTGATAATGGTTTACATTAAGGTGTGTCCCACTTCATCAACCATCATATGACCCAACTATCACATTCCCTGATATTTACCAAAAGCATTGAAGTCAGTGCACCACAGTGATACAAGCACATCCATGTTTATAGTAGCACAATGCATAATAGCCATGAGGATCCAGCCCAGTTGTCTTTCAATAGACATGTGGATAGAGAAATATGTGGTCTGTATACACAATGGATTTTTACTCAGCCATGGATAAAATGAAATTATGGTATTTGCTGGTAAATGGATAGAATCTGAGAACATCACGCTAAGAAAAGGAAGCCAGACTCAAAAGAATCAAGGGTCAAATATTTTCTCTTATATGTGGAAAATAGAAAGAGAAAAAAAGGAATAAAATGGGGATCTCACGAAAATAGAAGGAAGACCAATAAAGTAGAGAAAAGCAATTGAGAGGGAGAGAGGAGGGAAGGGCATGGGGAAAGTATGCTGTGTCCATGTATGAATATACCACAATGAATCTGTTTTCATATATAATTATGATGCATTAATTAAAAAAGTAATAATAGAGAGGAGACCAGTACAATAGAGCAAGGGGGTCAGGGAGAGGAAGAAGAGGAGGGAGGGGAGTTGTGACGATTGAGATTGATCAAATTATGTTATGTGCATGTAGGAACATGGCATAAAAGATCCCACTATTATGTATAATTGCAACACAACAATGAGAGAGAGAGAGAGAGAGAGAGAGAGAGAGAGAACTGACCACCTATAATACTAAGCTGACTTTTTCCAGTTTTTCAGACATTTTCATGGGGACTGGCTTAGCTTTCTCAAACTTTCACTTCTTTATTTTGCTGGAGTTGAGGATGGATTAAATATTTCTTTTGGCTTAAAAACTGTTTTACTATCATGTATTGTTTATCCATCTGATTTCTTTTTAATCCTCAAGAATAGTCACTATTATAAGCCTTTCATGTAAACACACCCATGACTTAATTTTGGCAATCCTTGGTTCTAATCACTGAAACTCTAGTCATAATTGTGTTCAACCCTTTATATCAGATAATGTTTGCCCAATGGGAATATATTGTTTTTCTCTAACAGATTGGATTGAATATTTTCATTTTGAGTTTATAATTTAGATGTCACATTGGCAAGATTCTTGCAGAAAAAACTCTGTAGCTATCTGGTAAGACTCTTCAAAAGATCTACAGGATTACTGAGGAAAAGGGCAACTATGGGATGCCAACACTGCTGTTGAGTGTGAATGCTGGCTTATCACCAGAATCTCTCTTTGGGGTGGGGTAATGCAATTTTTTATGTTCAAGAATTTATTTATGTTCACTGTATTCTAGTTCATGACACAAAGTCCTGAGTTTTCATTAAGAAGCAACATGATTATTTGCTTAGTTAGTAAGGCATTGTTAGCTCTATTTTTTTTATAAAGCTTGTGTCACTCATCAGGAGTTTGCTGTATATATGGGTCAATTTTCTTATGTTCTTTCGGTTGCAAAACAGGCCTTACATCCTAATTGAAACTGTCCATGAGAATTCTCTGAAGTTGCCACCAGATCTCTGGTCTATTTCATCAGTTGCTAAAGATAGTTGCAGATGTCCTATTTGCTCATGCTCTATGAAGTTAATTTTAAATGTTTAACAGAAATTTACAGTAAATGATTCAATACCTTGAGAATTGGTGTGACACAAGGTATTTGAAAACATATGATGAGTATTTCACCATTTGAAGGACTCAGCTTAGTTCAAATTGCTTGGAACATGGTGTGTTCTGAGTGAGTCCACTGAACTGGAGCATCTTTCAATCTTTACGAGGTGTGTCATACATAATTTGAATGCACTGCTCAGGATCTGTATTCTGTTCCCCATCAGGACTGCAATATCACCTTGAGACTCATGCCGATGGTCTTAGTCCTTGACAACCTCCTTCTCTTTACTCCTACTGGGTGGGCTAGATTATCCATACACCCAGTCACTCATAGGGACCTTGTTTTAATCCAGAGAGAGCATAGATATGACTGTCTTTACCTGATTGTCATCATGCTCTACTTGTTTCACTGCATTCTGTCCCCATGCTTCTTTCTACCTGTAAGATCAGGTGTCTCTAAGACATAAAAATATCCTAGATAGATGCAATTTTCTTGAACACACTTTCCTTGAATGTCCCTGGACATTAATTATAATGTGACTGCTGGAAACCTTCCTTCAGCCCAAAGGGGTCAACTATATAACCTATCCTACTCTATTAGAACACCTTGTCCTTAGTTAATTCTGACATCCCAGTTCAGTACTACTCATTCAGCATATCTGTTGGTATGTTTATGGTAGAATATAAGTTCTTTCAATTTTTTTTTTAGCAAAAATGGTTTACTATCTGTTATGGTTTGGATGTGAGGTGTCTCCCAAAAGCTCAAGTGTGAGACAACACAAAAAGGTTTAGAGGAAAAATGGTTGGATTATGAGAACCTTAACCTAATCAGTGTTTTAATCCCCTGATAGGGATTAACTGAGTGATAACTGAAGGCAGATAGGATGTGGCTGGAGGTGGTGGGTCACTGGGAGTCTTGCTTTGGGGTACATACATTGTATCTGGCAAGTGGAATCTCTCTCTGCTTCTGATCTTCATGAGAGCCACTTCCCTCTGCCACATTCTTCCACTATGTTGTTCTGTGTCACCTTTAGCCCTGAGGAATAGAGCCAGCTGCCTATGGACTGAGATCTCTAAAACCACGAGCCCTTAATTAAACTTTTCCTCCTGTACCATTATTCTGGTTGGGTCTTTTAGTCATAGAAGAGAAAAAGCTGACTAAAACATTATCTAAAATATGGATCCTCTTATTTATTTCCATTAAGTCCTGAGAAAAGTAATTAATCAGTTTTGGAGGTCTGCTTTGGGTAAAAATACTTTGGAAAACTATTTCCTGATGGCTACTTTCTGTCCAATGGTCAAACAGCACAAGGAGAAGCTGTACTAATAGATGTTTCTGTTAGAAATACTTTCTCTAGAACAATCACCCACTGAAACACCTCACTCTTTTGTTTCATTTAATAAAACAATAAAATATTTGGTTTAATCAGACAACAGATTTTGGATAGTCTCTTTGTTTTCTGAGAGACTATTCTTGCATTAGAGGAAGAAGATATGCATACTATAACATAAGACACAGCATATGGAGTTACAATGGCAAATAACGAAAGAGTAAAAGAAAGTATTACCTTAGGGTCATGTATTCCAGAAAGCTCTTCATAGATCTTCTCACCTACCATGACAGCAGCCAAGTTTGCTGTATACGTAGAAAGGCAAAACATACAGAAAATGGCCCAAAGGTTCATTAGAAATCTTCCAGTCCAGCATTTTGGGGGTTTGATGGCTGCTGTTCTACCAAACAAGAGGGCATAACAGACATTCAAGGCTGAAGAGAAGGAGAAGACTTTATTTCTGTTCCGCCCCTTGGGAGTCATACCAAATGGACTTTTCCATTCATACAGAGTGAGAAAGATGGCAGTGATATGCAGAGCCACAAAAATCCCCAGCCACATAGTCCAGTGGAGTGGCCACATGAAGGCTCCAATGGGAGCTGCTGTATCTCGGGTCCTCACTAAAATGCCCAAGCTGGTGGAGAAGAAAGGGCTAGTGAAATCAATCACCTGGCTCCGTGCAGTGTTGATGCTGAAGGAAGTGACTGCCATGTGGGCAGTCCCACTCAAGAGATCACCCACCAGCCCAGTCCAGTGCCCATTTTTCCAAGCTCCATACTTTCCATCCCCAACAATATAGAGGTCAAAGTCAAAGTTCATGTCTTCTGCTAGCTTTTCCAGCAGATCAATGCAATATCCATAGCAACACTTCTTGAATTTGATTGGCACTGTATCATTACTGCTATGGAGGCTACTAAATAGGCCGTCCAATAAGGAGGAGTCATTAGTCATAGGGTCTAGACAGAGTTGGCCAGCAGGGCACAAGCCTTCATCATCTACTTCCCTTGTGAAGACAAATGGGTGTTCAATCAGGGTAACCACTCTTAAGTGTAGCTTACTTGGATGCTGGAAGTGGGTTTTATGCCGCTGGGCCTGTTCTGGCCATATTCCATAGTCCATGACAATCTTCCCGCCCTGCCAGCTGCCCAAGCGGGTCCACATTGGCTTTTCCATAGGGTCATGTTGCAGATTCCAGATGAAAAAGTTGTTTTCTGAGCTGATGATGGTGGAACCTTTTACTTTGATGGAACCACTGAGGCCTCTGAACGTGGTGTTGGCTAGAAACCTAGTAAAGAGGAGCAAAGGCAAAAAGTAAAGAAGAGGTGAAGCCAAAGGTAGGAAGCCATGCTTAACTTTGCCTCTCTGTTTTAATAACATCCCCCCCCCCTTTTTAAAAGCTATTCTCCATACTTTCTTCAGGCATTAATAAGCTAAACTCTGTCTGGGAGAATATTCCTATTTCTCTGAACTAATGAGAGCTTACCCTCAGGTTTTCACATCCCAGCCAGATGTTTAAAAATTGGTCTTACTCCAGATCTTTTAATTTTTAGCTAAGTGATGTATTATTGTTTTATGTTATAAACTGTTACGTACTTTAAAAGCTTTTCAAGTTTGGGAGTTCTGAGCATCTTTAACATAAACAATTTATACCATTCACTATATATTTCATTGCAACCAAATCTGCTCAATAAATATTTCTGGTTTTCAAGTGAATTTTAGTAAGTAAGCAAGCATCTACTTTTATAATCACTTTAAAACTGCAAGGGTTATGTTTCATTGGGGCTGGGGTTGTGGCTCAGTGGTAGAGTGCTCGCCTAGCATGCATGAGGCACTGGGTTCAATTCTCAGCATCCTATAAAAATAAAAAAAATAAAGATATTGTGTCCACCTAAAACTAAAAAATAAATATTAAGAAAACCTGCATTCATAACATCAGAAATAGCCAAATCTTGTTACCATGTTTCTCCTTATAGAGTGTAAACAATTAATATATCTTTCCACATGGGGCCAGTTCAGGGCTACATGTTGGATATAATCCATGAAACAAAGAAAAGAATGATAAATAAACTTGCAGTTCTCTGGATAGCTTCAGACTACCCTCCCTTGTTATTAGAGAAAAACAATTGGCCTTGGCTCTAGGGAGATCTTCTGCCAAAAGTCAAAGAAAAGAAAATTACCAACTAAATGATAAACCCATTCCTAACTCTATGAATTCAGGCACTTTCAGTATATGTTCTGATATAAACTGGACAGGAAAATGCTTGGTCATAGCCTCTGTCTTTCTTGAGCCTGAGAAGATGAGAAATAAGAGGTAACACATAAACTGTGGCATCTCTATACTTGCCTTCAAGGCCTCCTGTCAGAATAATAGCCCAAAACTTTGGCATCAGATTCAAATGCATTGTAATATTGGCCCAGCCATCTGCTAGCATTGACCTTGGTCAGTTTACTGAACTGTAGGCTTTAGTTTCATTCTCAGCAAAATGGGGAAAATAATCCTTCCTCCATTATAAGGGTTGGACATAATGCATATAAAGCACATACTATACTTTCTGATATGGAACAAATATTCTAGACATGATAGCTATCATTTAATGTCGTTCAAGTTTTGTTTTCAATTGAGGCCATCCCCAGGTCTCTTTTTCAAGTCTTTTATTATAATTTTTCCAGTTGGACACACACACACACACACACACACACACACACATACTGCATTAAGATAAACCCATAGCAGTGACTCAAGACACATTTCAAATTAAAAGAAATTAAATTGAAATGTGGAATGTCACATAGTAGGTATTCTGAGGAACCAGATGATATAAGTCTAAGTGCATAGCAAAACACATTCACCCATTGCCTGTCATAAACAATACTCCATAATTTACAATTGCTAATAGAAGTAGTATCAAGTCATGTTGCCACAGAAGGGACATAGAAAAATCAGAAAGTGTGAAGTAAGCACCAATGTTCAATAGAGATAAATGTAAATCATATTTGAAGATGCTACTATCATTATATGCAATGAAACTCTTCATTTTGATAGATTGCATGTAATAGCAATTATTCATGTTAGCACTCCCTAGTGGGATTCTATTACTTAAAATAATTTCTATTATTCAACAAGTAATGAAGTCTCAGCTATCTTAGACTTTAAAACAGTTTTCTGCTTCTTCAGAGAAGCAGGGAACCAAATCATTAAAATATACAGATTAATGAATTGATAATTATCTTGGTCCTATAAAGGAAGGGGGACTATGATTGTATTTCTGATAAGAAATCTACTTTTAGATTTCTTAAAACATAGACATATAAACATTTGCTGACATAACCTAGAGAATAAAAAGGCCAGTAGTAAATAGGTTAATTTTATTTACTCAAGTTTAGTAATCTGGAAAGCAAAGTGAAAGTTGTAGAAAGGGGAGTCTTTCAATATTTTAAGAATGTTTGTGGCTTAATGATTATGGATTTTTAGCTTGATGAACCCTTGAGGGATGGCCTCTGAATAAGTATATACTTAAAGCATCTCAGAAGGTGGCACTAGAAGGCTTCAGAATTTTTTTTTTTTTTTTTTTGCAAATAATACAGCTCCCTTGTTTCAGTAAAGCCTATTCCTCATTAGCAGTGATAGCAGTTAAGACGACCATGACAGGAGGACAGTACTCAGTTGGCTTTGAGACAGCCATCTGTCAAAGAAAGCAAATCAATCAGAATCCAAAGGTCTCCAGCTTTCCCAGCACAGAAAACCCAGAGTCTTTTTCACTGGGCAATTGGCACTGATATATTGGGTGCCAGAGAATCTCCATTTATGACAGATTATTTATGCCTATTTTATTTTCAGACTTACAGAGAGGGTAAATTAAAGTAATCTCATTGATACTTTTTAGCGACAGTTGCCTTCTCTATATATTCTTTGAAATGAAATGAAAATCAAGCAGAGTATAAATGCTTACTTTATTAATTGAAAGATTAAAAGTAGTGTAAAGTTATGTTGCCATCCTGCTTCTGCTTAAATTGAATTTTACTATGCTCCTTTCTACCTTGTCCTGGACTCTTGAATGAACAAGAACAAGAACAAAAGCAATTAGGCACAGTTGTGATGGCATGATAAACTGAGAGAAATACCAGGTACCATTTTACCACTAATAGTTACAAAGATGAAAACTCATTAGTCTTGAAGAGCTCAAAATCTACTTGTGGGGAGAAAGAAAGCGAAGAAGCAATTCACACCAGTATAACGAGTATCCTGATAGAGGGAAATCTGGTGTCACCAGAAGACAGAACACAGCCACCTGTAGGTTTTACCCTAGGTATGCTCAGGAACGCTTCATAGAGGAGGAGGTAGCAGCAGAGCTAAGTCTTGAAGAAGAACATACAGTTATTCAGGAAGATAAACTGGAAAATAAAGCTGTCAGCCCTGAGAGATGCACAAAGTCCACAGGTGGAGAGTGCAAACTGTGGGACAATAGGTGGTAAGAAATAAGGCTGCAGATGAGGGTGGGAAATGAATTATGTCACCTCTGAGGTCACATGAGGCAAGGGGGAGACAATGAGGAGCTTCTGTCTGAGGAGGGACATGATCATCAGAGATAATTTTAGAATACCTTTTCCCCTTGCTGGTTCTATAGGAAACACTTTAGAAGGAGGAGGTCCCAAATATAATTCCATGTGCCAGGCCGAGTGCTTCCTCCTTCTCTCTCCCTCTCTCTCACTTCTCCCTGTGCTAATTTTACAAGGTAGTAGCAGGAAAAGTTGAAAAAAAGATGGTATGATCAAGAGATATTTTGTCTTCATAAAAAAAGCAGTGATTTTTCAGACGGTCAGTGCATAGGATCATATTTAGCTCACAAACCATGCCAAAATGGGTCATATAAATAAGACCTTCAGGATTTAGTTGAATGTAAGCTCAGTGTAAGCCCAGAGAGCAATGTGTGCATAAGAAAAGATCAAACTAATCTTTAGTTCCTTTAATAGGAATTAAGAACTTGAATCCAAGGGAATAATACCAACACCATTCTTTATGCTGATCAGACAACTGCTCCAGCCTTGATATGCACCATAAACAAATCTTCCAGATTCAGGAATGTTATAAAGATAAGAAGATGAAAAGCACAATGAGGAAAGTGGCTCAGTGATAGTGTGCTTGCACAGCATGCACAAGGCCCTGGGTTTGATCCTTAGCACCATCAACACAGAACAAAACAACAAAAGATGGAAACTCTGAGAAGGGTCAGTAAGCACAACAATCGGATTGGAAAGCAAGGTGGAGAAATATTTGAAACAGAAAAACACACTGCAACTAGACTGCAGAGAATTTTTACACACCCATTTTATGAGATTGGATTTTTTTAATAGTACAAAGGGAGCAATGAAGATTTCTGAGCAGTGTAATGATATAACCAGAGGGCCATATTAGTAATACTGACCTGCAAGCAAGTAAAATGTGTATATAGGAAAGAAGAGATGGTGACCCAGAGACCACTAAGAAGAATATTACGACACCTTTGCAATCATATGAGGACCTGGCTCTCACTCTAGGAGTGAGGACCTAGCTTAGCACTGTGCCTTGCACACAGTGATGTTTAAGAGACCAGTCCAGCAACACCCTCACTGCCACCGCAATCCTCTCTGCTTAAATGAATGAGGCTCGTTAGTTAATTTTACTTTATTGAAAGTCCCTGATTATGTCACTAGTTAAGAATAAGTTTGATTTGTATGGCACCTGAGATAAAATTGGTACTTTGTAAATTACTTTAAAATGTTTTGAGACAGTTCAATATATAACCAAGATCTGTATTTACTATATTTATGATCTACTCTCGAAGCCGTATTAGCACACAAAATCCCAACATACTAATTAAAGGATTTTCATACTTACTCATTCAAACAAATGAGCAAAGATATTAACAAACAACACATTACCCATTCAATCATTTATGCATTCAACGATACTCACTAAATGCCAGGCACTGGTCTAGCTGCCTAGCAGTGAATGAAGACAGGAATCTATGCAGCTTATATTCTATGGAAGGAGGCAGAACAAATATGCTAAATGGATAATATGCATGAGATATTAGATGGCACTCAGTGCAAAGGACAAAAATAAAGTAGGAAGACCAGGGAAGGCTTTCTCTCTGAGAAGGTGATATTTGAATAAAGAGCTGAAGGAGGAGAAAGAACTGGGCATGAGGATATCTGGGTAAGGAGCATTCCATGTATAGAGAAAAATGAGTCCCAAGTCACTGAAGTGGGAGTGTGTCTGGAACATCTAAGGAGGGATGAGGGCAG